ACTAGAAAATACACCTACCTGCGAAAAACATGGTAGTCATAAGCCCATGACCCACAGAAAAGTATTGTTAAGACCTTGCTGTGTAAGAAAGCCCACGTGGACATATATTAACAGGCCAACCAAACTGGGACCCCCTTTCTATACGCTGCTGCTTATAACTTAACTTTGCCTCATTCCATGTCAAGAAAAGTCATCCTCAACTAATTAATACATGAATATATTGCCAAGTACGATGGCACAAGCCTGCAATCCCAGCGCTCAGGAGCCGAGCCAGGAGGATGGCTGAGGGCGATGCCCGCAAGTGTAAGGCCAGCCTGAGCTACACAGTGAGACCCTGTCTCAAAAAGCCCAAAACAACAACGAAAAAATAGTGTTGGCCTGATGGTGGCCCCTGAAGCTAACCCCACGTTTTTCCTATAGCAGTGCTATGTGATTATCCTTAACTTTACTTTGTCTTCATATTCACAATGTTTTCACAACATCCAGGGTAAACACTTTGAAGTGGGTCCGCTATGGTTTGCATTGTTATAACCGGTGACAAAGTCACCTCCCAGAGAGGTGACCCTGATCCGTCCTCCTGACTGACCCCCAGCTGTGGGACTCCAAGGAGCGGAATCCCGAGGCCTCCCACCACCCCAGCCGCTGCTGTCCTGGTCTGCCTTGTGCTTTCCTGACCCCATTTGGCCATGAGGGAGGAATGAAGTCCAGAGGTGATCTTGGTGGGACCTCAGGTCCCTGGGGAGTGTGGGGCTCTGGGGAAGAGAGAGAGACAAAGAGAGAGAGAGAGAGAGAGAGACAGACAGACAGACAGACAGACAGACACAGAAGGACGGAAGAGGACAGGGTCTCCACAGGTCCTAGCTGGAGAAACTGCAGATGCAATGTCACAGGATACCTCGCTAGGCCTCTGCTTTGAAAACTGTGGTGCCCTGTCCTTCCCCCAACTGACTCCTATGCACAAATACAGCCTCTCCCGTGAAGCAGGCTCAGTCTCCATTCCCAGGCAAGTGCTACCCAACCACCCCTTTGAAGCCTTAGCGAATAAATCGAATAAATCGGTTTTTTGCAAGAAGGAACAAAAGTCTGTTGGCACAGATTAGAAAAGTGTTGTTATTGAGATGGAGGCTAATTAAATTAAATCACTTGTTTTTCAAATAGAGCATGCATTATTGAGAGAACATCTGCTCCCCGCAGACACTGTTCGGCTCTGTTCAGCAACCTGTGAGCCCCCAGGGCTGAATTCTTGAACGCCTGTGTTCTACTGACACCTAGTGGCCCATATGAAAATAACATGCACAAGATAAGGGGCAGGTGGTGCCAGTTGCAGGGCCTACCACAGTAATTCACAGCTAGGAGGACTTGTCCCTGCATTAACTCCCTAGTGATAGAGACTCCCTAGCCTTCATTCTTTTGGTTTCCAATGGTGATGGCGCTCCCCAGGGTCTTTCTCCCTCTTTTCCTTTCTGACTTTCCTTAGGTCTTTCTCCTTCACTCTTCATTCCTCTATCCGACTAAGACAGTCACATACATTCCCTTCATAAAGTGCAACCCTAGCCGGGTTTGGTGATGTGCACCTGTAATCCTAGCACGCTGAAGGCTGAGTCAGGAGGACTGCTGCAAGTGTGAGGCAATAGTGGGAGTGAGTTCAAAGCCAGCAAGACCCTCTTAAAAAAAAAAATGAAGAAAGAGGGCTGGCCAAATAGCTTAGCAGATTAAAGCATCTACAAGCAGGCACAGCAGGCCCAGGGGCCTGTGGTTCAATCCCCAGGCCTGCCTTGCTGGCCCTGCCCCCAGGGCAAGCTGAGACAGCAATTGAGACTGGGCGTGGTGGGGCATGCCTGTAATCCTAGTTTTTGGGAGGCTCTAAACAGGCGGATCACTACGAGTCTGATCTAGTAGTGAGTCCCTGAACATCCTGTAGACCCTTCCCTAAGATACAGAAAAAGAAAGGAAGAAGGAGTTCAGCCCTAGCACTCCTTTGCCCTCAGAGCTCTGGGAAGACTTTGTCCTCAGGCCACAGGTCAGAGCAGAAGCGGGCAGGTGGTGGCTCTGGAGCTCACTGCAGCTTCTTTCTGAGAACAGCACAACCATGGCTGTGCATTTCGCTGTCATCTGTGCCTCCCGCTCTGACCATAGACAGAGCTGCTGCGACAGACTTCAGAGCCCAGGGCACCTCAGAGCCTTGCATTCCCCTGCTCAGTGACAAGATTCAGAACTCAGCAGCACAGAGCCCAGGTACAGACCCTCCCAGCAGGGGACCCAAGCAGAAGCGCTCGGGGGTCACCAGAGTCCAGCGGCAAGCACCCAGGATCACTCACTCTCCCTTCAAGGTGCCTGCACATCTGCCTTCTCCCCTCTCCAAACACACAGAAATACCAGGGGTGGCCCATGCCCTGACCCCAGCATGCAGGAGGCCGAGGCCTGGGGATCCCTACAAGCTACAGGCCAGCCTGGGTATGTACTGAGGTCAAGCTCGGCCAAACTAGAGTGAAACTGCCTCAAAAGAAGAAAAAAAGTAATTTCTACAAAAGCAATCCTCTGGAGAGAAACCTGGGGAAAAGTATTTCAAAGCACATGAGTTGAGTGCTAACTTTCCCCTGGACAAAGATAATTTTTTATATAGCTACAAAATGAGAACTACAAACTCAAAATGAAATGCTAGCATATGAAGACATATTTGAGGAAGTCCAACCATCAATAGCTTTAATAAAGATGCACCAGCTCCCCTAAAAATGGATAATCCATTGTGAAAAAATTAAGGTTCCCTCAACCCAGACCTTAACCAATGGGCTAACTGTCCAGGGCGCTGCAAACGGCACTACATTGGAGGCTTCACCACACATCACTGTGGTGACTCTGCAGGAATGAGGCTTGTTTTGTTTTGTTTCGTTTTGTTTTCTTTCATTTTGTTGACATAGGGTCTTCCCAGGTATTCTAGGCTGGCCTTGAACTTACAATGTAGCCCAGGCTGGCCCCATGGTGATCCTCTTGCCTCAGCCCCCAGTGTGCTGGGATTATAGGTGTGCACTACCATGCCCAGCTTAGACAAACTTTCATGGAAAATTATAGTGTAGAGAATTCTGTTTTACCCTAGAAATCGCTGGCCTTCAAGGAACAGTGACATAAACTTCTTAACTTAGAACCTGTCAAGTTAAAAAATAAAAAACTTGAATGCTCAAATTTAGAATGCTCAAAATCTGTTATTTTAAATGAACAAAGAGTGGCAAGTGGGTTAAAAATGACTTTTGGTGCATTTTCACGTAAACACTTAACCCAGCAGACAGGAAGTCAAGGCTGTGTCTGAGGCTGTGTCTGAGGCTGTCCTCGGTCCTGGCTCAAGAACCCAAAACACCCTGTCTGTCCCCACTGCCAAGCGAGCACAGGGGAAGCTGCCACAGCGCTCCTCAGGCTGCATGTCAGAAACCCAGGCCTGCAACACCTGCTGGCAGAGCCACTCCGTTTCTGCCGCAGCTCAGCAGCAGGCACTGCCCGAAATGACAGCCCGGGGCTGCAAACCAGGGCTTTATTCTCAGGATACCAGGTGCAAGGGCATCCCCAGCCCTGTTTCATTTT